ATTGACATATAACCCAGTCATGAAGTCTAGCAAAATGTAATAGGGAGAGGAGTCTAATTTGGACGTTATCTGCCTTATCTATTCCCACTTATTTAACTGAATTGATCTGTTACCTTCGGTAACTCATTTCCTCTCTCTGAGTCATATTATCCTTATCTGCCAAAAGAGAGGATTAAAGTAGGATTTGGGGACTGGAGAATTGTCTGTTTTGATGGGCTCTTTGCACCTTTATCAGAGGCATCTTGCTACATCTCAGTTTTTCTATATGGTCTTGCTATACTTTGGGGATGAGGTTGGACCTGTGTTCTCATAAGGTTCTTCTCTGTTTCTAAAAGGATGAGGAACTCCCTGAAAGCAAAGATGAACTAGATCAATTTAACCTATGTGAAGCTAACTTTAGGATCAGCAATGGGAAGTACAACAAACTTCAGAATTTGACATAACTTAAGCTTTCTCTCTCATTACAATATCTCTTGAAAACTATTTCCCAGGCCCGATAGATAGGCTGCTCAACATAATCACCCAAGAGGTGAAGAAGAATTCAGGGGAAAAGCCCACAGAGCTAAAAGCAAGTGGGGCATTTTCTTTTAAGAGTTACAAATAGCTGCCTCAAAATTCAGCTAAGAGAGAACTTGGGTTTGAAACTTGGGTCTCTTCATTCTTTACTCAACTAATATTTCCTAGGTGCCTATGCAGTGGCAGGTACTTTGCTATGCTGTGGGAAAACAGGAATAAATTTAATACCACCTTGATCATAAGGAGCTTAGAGTCTTGTAGAAATGATTTGTCGTGTGCACAGATTACTGTAGCTTAAGGCAGAGGCTCCAGTGCCATGAGAAAGCTCTGGGCTGTTCAGAGGAAAGCACAATTCTATCTTGTTAAAGGTGCTTCCTAGAGGAAATGGCATCTTGAGTCTTGGTAGTGGTCAGCAAGGATTTTAATTCAGTGTTAATGATCAAGAGACTGGGGAGCTAACTTCTTTGCAATTCAGCTTTTTGAATTTGTAAAATGGGATGATAACAGTATAAACCTCACAGACTTCTTGTGAGTAGCATGTGAGTTCATATGATTGAAGCTCTTAGAAAAGTTCCTGGGACATAATAAGTGTTCAAAAGTGTTAATCACCTTATTTTTATCAGAAGCATCTGGGTGAAATTACCCAAAAGTTTCTTGCAATCTCAAAAGAGAGATCCATGATCCATGTAAGAAGAATCATGCTCATAGAATTCTTTTGCATGTTACAGTAGAACCTACTCAGTCAGGTCTTTGCAGGTGCTCATGCTGTGTAGTTCACAAGTGAGCTCTCACTTTCTCTCCTTCTCCTTCACAACTTGTAGTACACACACACACACACACACACACTCACACTCATTTCTCTCTGCAGAAGCTGGACTGTTTATCAAAAGCCCTGGCTGTAGGAGTGTTTCAGATGATTTTTGGAAACTGAAATCATTTCAGAGATAATAAGCATCAAGAATGTGGGTGTATAATACAAACAATAGGCGAGTTCATATCGAAATCTTTACATTTAAGAGAGATGGGTTTTCCTTTTTGTTGCCTTTATTTTTTCCAAAAGCATCATCATTTATGTGGTTTGAAAATGATCTTTCCTCTGGAAATTAGACATCACAGAACAGAACACAAAGATGTAGCTGATTAAGTGTATGAAGAGCTCAATCTCTTTTAAGAGAGACTTCGTCCTCTTTCAGGCATGGCAGCCTACAAGAATGAATTTGCTTTGAGTCATATATTTTACATAAACCAAAGAGGTTACCCCTAAGATGAACTGTCTGGCTTATTGTTCCCCACCCCCACAGTGGCCCACATGTCGTCACAGGAAGGCATTAGCAGTTTCAGGACTCGAACTTTCTCTCAAAAATTTCTTTACTTGAACCAAGCAGGGTTTCTGCATTAAAAAAACAATCATCACTGTGTCGATTGTAATTAATGGCTAGGGGCATGTTGTCTTTTTGGATGTAAAGATAATGAGGTAATATTTCTCACACAGCATGAGTGTGGCAAATAGTGGGGAGAGGTTTGTCTTCCTGGATCCATCTGTGTTTTTGTCTCTCTGTTCACTTTGTGAATAAGGACAAGTAGTTGCCAGAGGTTGGCCAGAATTAGAGTTCTTGGAGATTATTTAGGTCACTGCATACCTCTTGCATATTACAGATGTAGAAACTGAACGCTGAAGGAAAAATGGGATGTGCCTAAGGTCACACAGGGGTTAGAAGCCAGAATTTCTGAATCACAGCCCAGGATTCCAACAATAGGAGGAAAGATTAAAATCTTAACCCATAACAACAGCTTCAGAAGCACCAGTGTGTTCATAAAATAATCAAAGTGTAATGACATGATACGATAATATCTGACCCAAAAGGACTATTATAGGGACAAATAATAATGAACAAATAATAATGAATGTGAAAGGCTGGGCGTGGTGGTGGCTTACACCTGTAATCCTAGCACTCTGGGAGGCTGAGGCGGGAGAATCGCTTGAGCTCAGGAGTTCGAAACCAGCCTGAGCAAGAACGAGACCCCGTCTCTACTAAAAATAGAACGAAATTAATTGGCCAGCTAAAAATATATAGAAAAATTAACCGGGCATGGTGGCACATGCCTGTAGTCCCCACTACTCAAGAGGCTGAGGCAGAAGCATTGCTTGAGCCCAGGAGTTTGAGGTGGCTGTGAGCTAGGCTGACGCCATGACATTCTAGCCCCGGCAACAGAGTGAGACTCTGTCTCAAAAATAAATAAATAAATAAAATAATGAATGTGAAAAATTCATGTAAAACTTAAAGCACTAACTTTTAGATGGTTGATAAAGACTGCAGATCATCTGCTCCGAATCAAGGGAAAAATGAGAACTATTAATATTGTCTTCTTGCAAATAAAGTAGACTCCCCAAGGCCATTTTAATTGTCTGTTTGCCTATATGCCTTCTTTCAGTCTGAACTTTCCTTCGTGTAATTCAGTACTAGGAAGTTTCATGTCATTCTAGAATTAAAAGTAATTTGTCTCAGTCTATCATACAGCTAGTAATCTTCAACCAACTACAAGTTGTGGCTGAGGTCAAAAGTAGAAACACTAAATTTTTCTATGGCATTTGTTGACCTAAACTCAGGGCAGGAAGTCTAAACTCTGAGGGAGGATCCCCAGTTAAAGAGGTTAATATCTTTGACACCACAAACACTTTGCCCTCTAGAGCAACAGAGATTGGAAGAGATGGCTGAAGGTTCATCTGGCAAGAAGATATGTTGTTCTGGAGAATGGAAGTACACACTGCTCATCAGAATTTTAAGATACAGATTCAAGACAAGTGGGGTCACCTGTCTGATTAGGGAAGACACATTTCATGCTTGTGGAAGCAGGATCCAACTTGTTTGGAGCCAATCTTAGGAGGAAGTTCCCACGAGACAGAGTGTGGTTACGAACTTTTGGATAATCTAAACTGTTAAAACATGGAGCCAGGCTGCCGCTGGAGGTGGTGAACACCGTATCACAGAAGCTGTCCACAGAGGCTTAGAAGGGAGCCCAAAAGGAAAGAGTCAAACTAAGAGGGGGATGCAGGTCAGAGAAACGCCCCTTTGGTTTGTCATACTCCTGACAGTCTCACTGCGAGTCTAGAATTCCTTCCTCTAAAGAGAAAGGATGCTAGAAAAGGATGCTAGAAGCACCACGGGAGGAGACAGAATGACAATAGGCAGAATGTAAAATGCTTAGGCAGCCTCACCTCTCTTCTCCATAATAGGAGAATGATGGGATTCCGCACTCAGGGAAATGAAAGGGCAGTAAATTTCCAAGGCAATAAAAGGTGCTGTCTCTAGTCTCACATTCACCATGTGGAAGTCCTTGCCTTCAGACGGATTGTGGGGATTTTTTAAGCACAAAGGCTTCTGTGACTGAAGTGATGCGATCCAGATTGTGCAGCTGGAATTGCTCAACTTTAGGTGGCCCCGGGCTTGGAGGACCACACTGTGCGGCCCAGGGTGTGAAGCACTGGCATGGTGTAAGAGGCGGGAGTTTGTGGAGCTGAGCCACTTGTAAAATTCCTCTTGTGCCGCTGCTTTGAGAAAGCACTGGGATAGTTAGAGAATGCCCCACTGTTTATTAAAATGGACACTATGAAATACTAATCCCATGAGATCCATGTTCCAGGGCCAAGTTAAAGGAATATTGCATATCCATACTGTGTCCCCGTAGATTTGCATTTAAAGGCCCTGAAAAGGGTTGAAGCAAAGCAGCCTGTTTCATTTTGAATAATCCTGCCTTCCTCTAACTTATTCGACCATAGTAACCATTTTTACCTGACACTACTACCATCCTGGGGAGTAATCCTCCATAATGAACACCTTGGGGACATTTTTGGGTAATTGTATGTATTTAGCAGTCACTGACACACAGACCCACGGAATGTTAGAATTGAAGGCCACCGGCCAGGCGCGGTGGCTTGCGCCTGTAATCCTAGCACTCTGGGAGGCCTAGGTGGGTGGGTCATTTGAGCTCAGGAGTTCGAGACCTGCCTGAGCAAGAGCGAGACCCTGTCTCTACTAAAAATAGAAAGAAATTAATTCTACAGCTAAAATTATACAGAAAAAACTAGCCGGGCACGGTGGTGCATGTCTGTAGTCCCAGCCACTTGGGAGGCTGAGGCTGCAGGATTGCTTGAGCCCAGGAGTTTGAGGTTGCTGTGAGTTAGGCTGACGCCATGGCACTCTAGCCCGGGCAACAAAGTGAGACTCTGTCCGAAAAAAAAAAAAAAGAATTGAAGGCCACACTAAATTTAACGCCATTCCTCCATATTTTGAATAAAGAAAGCAAAGGCCTAGAAGGGTTATACCAAAGTAATGACCAACAGCCATTAACCCTGACCTGCAAGAACTCGGAATTTTAAAATGTCAACAAATTACTGTGTAACATTAGCTCATGGATTATGATGTAATATTATATTATATATAAGATGGCAGTTACAAGAATACTGGACTTGGAATCAATAAAGCTGGGGTCTAATCTGTGATCTCTGGCTTTTTCACTGTCACCGCTTGGGCCCATCTTTCCGCTTTCATTGGCACTGGCTCCCTCCATCTCTAGGGACCCAACAGGGAGGACCATACTTGAGTGGCTGACCTCACAGTCCTGGTAAGAATCATGAGAGAGAACGAATATGAAAGTGGCTCATAAACTGTACTGTAATTGTGCCGTATAAATGGCAGGAATGCTCCTCCCTCCTCAAATGTTGATGTGATGAGCCAGCATCAGGAGGATACACACACTTTCTGCTGCTTCTCTCTTTGTGAGGGTACTTTGCATGACTCTCTCCACAGACCCCATCTTTTAACCACTTTCACGGGTTGGTGAGGCGACCCGTGACCTCAGTGTGGAAGCTCCCAGCAAGGCCATTGCCCCTGGAATGGGATGCTGAACCAATGACCTGATATTCACACACAGCCTGCTAGGAGGGGACAGCAGAAAGTATGGCAGGGTCAAATCCTCAGCAGAGTTTTAGGTAGTTGACTTCTAATACCCATAAAGACTTGTGACAAAAAGAAAGGCTTCCAAATTCTGTGTTGTCAGGACTAAAAAGAAGAAGAAGAAAAAGAAGAAGAAGAATCCAACAACAGCATCGCCCAAAGAAAGAGAGGGAAACAGAATGGCTAGGTTGGTGGAGGCTTGGTATCTTATCTCTGGAATGTTATTGATGATCTGAATGCAGTGCGAGATCTTAAGTGAAATGAATTGGTGGTTTCAGTTCCAGATATGGTATGCAAAGAAAAAAAAATTGCCCTTTGAAATTCAACGTTTCCTCGTCTGTGCTTCAGGAAGCCACACGCCTGACTCTGAGCGTGGAAACTGACTCATTTCTAGCCCTTTGAGATTAGCCTCTTCAGCCCCCAGACTGTGGGCAGGTTCTGGGGCCTAGTGGAAAACCAGAATTGAGTCTGATCAACCTGGAGAAGGAGAATCAGACACAACCTCATCGGATGCATGTCTCTTTTAGGGTGCTTGGCCTCCCGGAAGGTTCTACAGGCAGTAGGCCTTCTCGACAAACTATCTCCAGAGCTTTTCCACTTGCAGTTGGCAGTAGGAAGCTTGTCTAAAATGGCAGAAAACAAAAATACAAATGCAATGCTTCCCGAAGCCTTTTTGTCAGAGTCATGTTAGAGCAATTTGGCTGACTGACCCACTTGGTGGAACAACATGACTTTCAATGCAAAGGATATTGTGTGTTTTCTCACCAACAAGCCCTAATGAGCAATGAACTGTTCTTCTCTTCAACTGTCCCAAAAATCTGTTGATTTGGTATTCTCTGTGCCACTCAGGTATTAGTGAAGCATAGGAGAGGTATTTTACATTTATTGAGAAAAGAAAAGTATGCTAGAGACTGAATTTTCCTCATTAAATGGAGGCATAGAACTCCAGAATGACAGAGTTATGATCTTCTAAAAGTAACCATTTCAAGCTTGATCATTTAGACCCTAAATCAGTAGTTTTCAGACTTTCTGCAGACCATCTCGGCAAGGGATACAAACACTAAAATGGCCTCTTTGCTTAATTCTGACTGACACATTAATATAAAAAACTTATATAGGGATAATGAGAAGAATACTGATTTCAATGAGAAGTCAATGAAAGACAAGGTGATGTGGGGGAAAAAAACAACTAGAGACTTGGCTTAGGGTCAGAAGTTCTGAGCTTACTAACTCTATGACCTCTGGCAAGCCACTTAATCTTTCTAAGCCTCACTTTTCTCATCTGTAAAGTGTTAATGCTAATTACAAAATGAGATTATATATGTGAAATCATTTACTTTATAAATGGTAAGGAATATGCAAAAGTTCATAGTTATTACTACATATAAGCTTTTAAATATTAATGATTAATTTGTGTTAGAAATGAAGTTTCAGACTTCATCATAGAATAAGCATTAATATTTCCAATTTTCGTATCTGAAAAGCTTTTATGGAACATATTGGTCCACATTATTGATGTATTTCCATGCCACTTACTTCCAAAAAGGATTTGAAGTAACTTATAATATTAGACACAGAGATAACAGGATCATTAAAACACAGATAAAAGATTAATACCTGATCATGAAAGAAGAGAGCAGTTCGAGGAAGAAAACCCAGAATAAGAATAATTTTAATGACGCATACGGTATGATTATGATCTTCCCAGCAACTTAGACAAAAAAGTGAAATACATTGCATTACGCACCTTCTTCCTCTAGTAAAGGAAGAATAGCTACAAATCAGGTGGAAAAAATCCTCCCCAGCCCTAAACTCCACAATAAATGTATTGTGTGAATACTTGTTTAAGGAAAATCAGGCTGGGCATGGTGGCTCACACCTGTAATCCTAGCACTCTAGGAGGACGAGGTGGGAGGATGACTTGAGCTCAGGAGGTTGAGACCAGCCTGAGCAAGAGTGAGACCCTGTCTCTACTAAAAATTGAAAAATTAGCTCGGCATTGTGGCAGGCATCTATAGTCCCAGTTACTCGGGAGTTTGAGGCAAGAGGATCCCTGAGCCCAGGAGTTAGAAGTTACTGTGAGCTATGATGGCGTCAGGACAACAGAATGAGACTCTATCTCAATAACAACAACAACAACAACAACAATAAAAGGAAATTGAGCACCCCTCCTCATGACCCCCCTTCAAAAAAAAGAAAGGAAGGAAGGAAGAGAGGGAGGGAGGGAGGGAAGAGAGGGAGAGAGGGAGGGAAGAAGGAGGGAAGGAAGGAAGGAAGGAGGAAGAAGGAAGAAGGAAGGAAGAGGAGGAAGGAAGGAAGAAGGAAGGAGAAGAGAGAAGAGAGAAAGAGGAAGAAGAGAAGAGAAAGAAAGAAAGAAAGAAGAAAGAAAGAAGAAAGAGAAGAAAAAAGAAGAAAAGAGAGAGAGAGAAGAGAGAAAGAGAGAAGAGAGAAAGAGAAAATAATTGGGCAGGATCTTTATAAAAAGATGCAGCAAAGATACTATTCCAGTCTGACCACTAGGTGATATTTCCCTTTGTGAATCAGTGCTTGCCTTTCCAGAACTAAATAAACAGCAAGATAATAGAAGGAGCAGGCTGCCTTAAAAAAGCAGAGCAGTGAAAATCAGAAGCTTGCCACAGCTGGTTGAGGCATGTAGCTGGCCCAGGTAGTCACAGAGGTAGTCACCATACATTAGGGGGCGTCAGGCAGGCAAGGCAATATGCAAGGTGCCTTGCACAAGGTCACTTGGTGTCTCTGAAACTGTCTCTGCATTCTGAGTTCCTTAATATGATTTTTTAGGTCACAGTGTTCTAGGCAAAGCTCCCTGTTGATGTACATCTCTCATGCAAGATTTAGATCACCTCTTTTCGGGCAGAGCTCCATGGAAACACCGCCCATGATTTCTGAAATGGAATCTGATTGGGTCCTGGTAATGCCCAGCTGGAGTGGACAGCGATCTCTGCAGTTGACACATTGCTGGACAGTTGGCAAGCCTGAGACTACCAGAATTTAGTCCTTGTAGGCTATTATTATTCTAATGCCATAGTAAATTCCTGTTTACCCAAAATGGCTATGAAATGAGATATTCTGAGCAATGGAAAATTCTGGTTCATCTGGTTACCATCTATATTGCTTACTGATTCTTGGTTTCCAAATAAGTAAATTACAACATACTCTGCTAAACACTAAAATGACAGTGTTTATGATTTAAGCTTTTTTTCTAATGATTCATAAGCTACTTCAAGATCTATTAGCACCTAATACTGTCATTAAGATCATAACTTGTCATTTTCGAGGATATTGGGTGGAAATGCAGAAGGTATGGAAAGTTGAATCAGTAGTAACTCCCAATCAGGCCATTCGAATTGCTGTAGCTGTTGAATTAAATCATTTCATCCTTGATATCAGTATGTTGGCAAGTGAAATAATAAACATAAACATATTAGCATAATGTCTGGTATATAGTAAGTTATTGTTTTGTCATTTTTTCCCTCAATAACATCAGAGAAAAAAAGAAGAGAATCTGATTCATTTAACTAACCAGTTTGGTGTCTGAACAAATTGAATTTGTAGAGGATTAGTTCTGGCAGGAAGTATGGAGAAAATATGCCTAATTTAATTGTTTCCTATAAGGAAAATTAAGGCCCAGAGAGGAAACGTAACTTCTCTATAGCCTCATGACTGTTAAGGGTTAGAATTGATAGCAGAATCCAAATCTTCTGGGGCCAAGCCCAGGGCTCTTTTTAGCAGACCAACTGCTACCATAGGCAGAGAGTTTCTGTACCCCAGGAAACAGATAGATGGACAAGAAATGGCCTGTTTGCTCAGAGATCTAGGAACTTACCATATCAATACCATTTGAAGGTCATCAAAGTCCCCTTCTCTGTAAAAGCCCTGGCCCTGACTCTGAAACACCTCACAGGGTAAAGGACCAATAACGTGCCCATGATCCAGTCAAAATGAAAACTTTTCAAAAGTAGCAGAGTCACACAACTCCCCGCATCTGCAAGAATAACTTTTTAAAAAGTCACTCAGACAGGTTTATATTCCTAGCATTTTCCTTTTGCACTGCCTATGTTTTGAAGCTTGATTCATTCCTATCTCTGCCTCTTAGGTACTTTTACAAATGTTTGTACTCACTTAACTTCCAAATTAATTTACTGTAAACTCCTCCCTCTGAAGGAAGGGGAAGAAGGAAATTAATGATTTTAATGTTGATTGCATTTTGAAAGGCAAGACTCAGTCTCTTTAAAATGAGCTTTGCTGTTAGTTAAGAAGTATTTTCTCTTCTTTAGTTTCAGATTCTGACTGGTCTCTTTTTCTCTTACCATTCTCTGAGCTCTCACCTGCCTTTGATCATGGGCCTGGAAATCAGTTGTGTGCACTTGAGAAAACACAGGGCTGGGTTCTCCATTACTTTTCAGAGTGAAGGGGGAAGTCTTGCATCATATCCCTCTGAGGGACCCAATTCCCACTATAACTGCTGTCACAAGGGTACTTTTGCTATCTGGCCTTCTCTACCACATCGCTTTTAGCTCTAGAAGACTTCTTTTCAGGGAGATCTGTGCATGTGTGTGCACGCACACACGCATTTTTTAAATTATCTGCAAAATATGCCTTGTGTTGGTTGTAACTAGATGGTTGATTGCGGATACTCTTAGGAAGGGATCATAGAGGTCACCTGTCTAATACTCCATGAGGTTTGAGACCAAAACACTTCCACCAGTGGCTGTCCTGGTAAGAAAGGACGGCAGTCAGGGCACAAGGCTCTCCAAACACTCTATCTCATCCTGCTCTCAGGGGCCTCCCGTGGTTCCATTGCCCACAGGGTGCATGCTCAACCTTGGAGAGGGACATTCAGAGGTAGGAACAGGGCCTGGCAAAAACTGACACTGGATACATTTTTTAAAATAAATAATGAGGCAGGTCTCGAAGACCTGGCTGACCCCTTCTGTCCTACAACTTTCAACACAGTGAAAATCGCCCTTCCTTCTCTTACCCTCCCGCTGCTGTGGCCAAACCCTCTGCTGACCTTCCTCTACTGTCCTGGACTTTGACTCCTCTGGATCCTTTCAAGCATTTTTCCTGACTGGCATTTTCCCTCCTTTATAAAGTATTCCTTCCCTCCTCCTCCGGCCCTCCAACCTTCATCCACGTGGACTTCCTCCCTGTGCCCCAAATGACCTACCTGAGGCACATTACTGCTCTCCCTTACTGCCGTGAGCACTCCTTGAGGACAGGGACTGTTTCATCCCTCCTTGTATTTTCCATAGCACCTAACAGAGGGTTTGGCATGGGGCTGGGTGCGACGGGCCTTCTGATTTGAATTGAATCTCAGGTCACCTTGTCCTTTATCTTGACAGAGAGAGAATGGTGTGTCCCTCCACTGAAAGCTGAGTTAGGAAATATTCCTGTCCTAACCTCTGACCTAAATCTGCACAAGTCTGACCTGCAAACCACAAGCACAAGGTGATGAAGTAAGCAGTAACAGCCACCAGAGACGGGTAACATAGCGGTACGTGCACGTCCGTCCAGGCCCTTGCACAGCCCTGGAAATTTACGGGAATGTATAGCTAGCTGTGCTGTTGCCGGGTTGGCACAAAACCTGTTTTTCTGGAGGCTTCGTCCATCAGCAAGTATGTTGGCCTGTTGCGAGTGTTGCCGATTGGGACAGGAGGACACCCAGCCTGGGCTCAGGTTTTATGTATCCCCACGCAGCAGGCCTGCAAGGCAGGGCTCCACACACTTTTTGATCCTAATCATGAACCTGGGAGCCTTTTGAATTATCTCAAGCAGCCAAGCCAAGAAGGCCGTCTGATTCCAACGGCAATAACCAGTCGTGATTTATTGACTCTCAGGCTCTGGAACATCAGAGCTGGAAGTAAACCTAAAAATCATCTCATCTGACTCTTCTTTTCACAGATGAGAAATTATGATAGCCTTATTTTTTAAATGAAAGGAGACAGACTCTATTCATTAATATAATAATTCGTTCACCCACTTACCTATCTATCTACCAACTCATTCATTAAATATCCACTAATGCTAGGTACCCAGCCTGTGCTTGGTTCTAGATATTAAAACATGAATAAGTCATGGCCCCTGTTCTTCAAGAGTTTATTATACATACATATGTAGACACACAAATAATTATGAATCAATGTAATGTGTCATGATACGAGCATTAACTAGGTATGTTATGAGCACATAGAAGGCAGTGACTAATCTGCTCGGCCTGGAAGAGTAGGGGAAGATTTTTAAGAAGAGGTGACATTCATCAAAAAACCTTTGAGAAAGGGAAAGAGTTCTATAAGCACAGAGGGACAAACAGGATCACAGATTACAAACAGCCTCTTCAAATGCCCGGCTAAGGGAGAGTGTGCAGCGTCCCAAGAGATTGGTGAGCAGCCAGGTGGGACCCTTGACAGGGCTGTGGTGTGGGGTGCAGGACATGCACTGTGGCCGGGTCACGTGGAAGCCTGTTGTGGAGATCTCCTTAGCTGTGCTGAGTGCCCAAGCTTTAGCATGAGGCTGACAAGGAGCCTTTGAAAGTTTTCAGATGGAGGAGTGTGACTTTAAATTTACATTTCATTAAGACCTCTCTGGCCACAGTAAGAAGAGACAGAAACTGTTGCAATTATGCTAGAAATAAAGGCAGCCAGAGTAAGCTTTCAAACATATAAGTCAGCTCATGTTACCCCCCTTGCTGTAATTCTTTGTACTCCATACTCCCTGCCTCCATTCAGTGACTCTGCATTACGAATCCCTGTTTTTGTTTGTTTGTTTGTTGGATAATATCTATGATCGTATGAAATTATCTTATTTGTTTGCAAGCTAATCGTCTGTCTTAATCATAAAGTGAGAGCACTGTTAGAGCAAGGGCTATGTGTGTCTTACTAATCAAAGTACCTCTAGGCTTAGCTCAGCGTCTGGACGTAACAGGTGCCAACAAAGGGTTTACAGAATGATTGATAAGACCTCGATGTCAGGAAATGGTAATGAGAATGGAGAGAAGATGACTCTTAAAGGCAGAAAACCAGATCCTCTCTTTCCAGATTGACTATGTACATAATGAGTAGATGGTAGCTAGTTTTCAGTAGAGAGGGGATGGGATTACATCCTTAACAGACTGAATTTGCTACTCACATGTGAGAATTTTTTTTTTTTTTTTTTGAGACAGAGTCTCACTTTGTTGCCCGGGCTAGAGTGAGTGCCGTGGCGTCAGCCTAGCTCACAGCAACCTCAAACTCCTGGGCTCGAGTGATCCTTCTGCCTCAGCCTCCCGGGTAGCTGGGACTACAGGCATGCGCCACCATGCCCGGCTAATTTTTTATATATATATCAGTTGGCCAATTAATTTCTTTCTATTTATAGTAGAGACGGGGTCTCGCTCAGGCTGGTTTTGAACTCCTGACCTTGAGCAATCCGCCCGCCTCGGCCTCCCAAGAGCTAGGATTACAGGCGTGAGCCACAGCGCCCGGCCACATGTGAGAATTTTTATGGTAGGTAAATCTATTTTTCCTTTTGCTCTCTTCACCCCGTATGTTTTCCACACATTATCAGTCTCTGGAACACAGTCTTCCAGGGACCCTCTATTTTTTGCTTCTGTGTTCTAGTCTCAACTCTGCCAGTAACTAGTTGTGGGACAGACAAGCTACTTTTCTTGGGCCTCTTGTTTCCTTGTCTGTAAAATGAGGGTATTAGCTAAGGACCTATAAGATGCTTTCTAACTTACATACTGTGAGTCTCAAATTTCCTTAGCTAGGGTAAGAGTTCTTCTTTCTCTTCGTTTTTTAAAAGTGTATAATGATTATATACAAAATCTCACAAAACAATATTTTTTGAAATATTTCTCTGTTGTCCCTCTCAATTTCTAGCCATAAGTATTTTTACAGAGTTATTTAATATAATCAAGCATGGGTACAACTGTGCATTCCACTCATATCCTTGAGCATTATTTGTTATATGCCTTTCATGTTGCCACAAAGTCTTCCCATTTATCATTTTAATGACTACGTAATTTTCCATGGAGTTAATATATCATAAATTATTTAACCATTCCCAAATTGTTGGATATTTGGATTCTTTCCAGGTTTTGCTATTTTAAAGAGCTTTGAACATTGAGGCTTTTCTGTTTTTTAGAGATGTTTTCCTTAGGGTAAATCCCTAGGATTGAAATTATTAGATGAGTTTTATGGCTCTTAAAAAGTATTGCCAAATGGCTCTCCAAAAGGATTGTTTCAATTTGTATTCAGTTTGTGTTCTGCGCACCGGCATGCCAGTGCCACAGAAAGCTTGCCAGCATGTTTTTAAAAATCAATTTCCTTTATTTTTTCAAGTTGAACTTGCATGACATGGGGCTTCCTGGTTGTTGCTGTATCGGGATTGTCATCCGTCAGGCTAAAGTTATAACACAGAGTTTGGCAAATGTAAGTGCCCAGTAATCAGCATTGCTATTATAGAAAGAGGGATCTTAGGAGGGTGAAGCATGATTGTCCTACTCTCGAACCCAATTTTTTTCTGCCCACTACCTCCAGTTCCCTTTACTGCAGATATTTACTCCTCACCTTCAATGTTGCCTCCAGTTAAAGTGCCGCCAGCTCTCCTCTCTTCCAAGGTAGCCAAGGTTCCTCCCTTACACTTAGAAGTCTTGGGCCAAGCTCCTTCCCTTACTGATTCTCTCCCCAGTTCCATGTATCTATCAAGAGAGGGTCCTCACTAAAGATGGGGTGTTTGCTTTTTTCCCCAGAACTGCTTCTAATGTTCATCTGAAGTCTTCCTCTCCAGAATTACCTTCCCTACTTCCCATCTTCCCAAAGACAGCCCTCTGATTATTTGAAGATGATGATCATTTTCTCAGAGAATATTTTTCCTTTTCAAGTCAGATCTCTCTCTCTCTCTCTCTCTCTCTCTCTCTCTTTTGAAACAGGGTCTTGCTCTGTCACCCAGGCTAGAGTGCAGTGGGGTCATCATAGCTCACTGCAACTTCAAACTCCCAGGCTCAAGCTACCCTCTTGCCTCAGTCTCCCAAGTAGCTGGGACTATAAGCATGTGCCATGACACCTGACTGATTTTTCTATTTTATGTAGAGACAGGGTCTCACTCACTTGAACTCCTGGGCTCAAAACAATCTTCCTACCGCAGCCTCCCAGAGTGCTAGAATTACAGGCATGAGGCACCATGCCCAGCCTGGGTATCTCTTTTCTTAACTCATTCCTTATCCTATTTACATTTTCATCTTCTCACAGTCCTGGTTGCTTCCCTCTGAGTGGGTTCCAGCTTATAAATTTCTCCTTTCAAGTGTTGGCCCATTCATTTATTGAAATTTACTGAACATCCAAGAGCCAAGCAGGATACAAAGATGAATAAGACCTACTTCCTGCCCTCTGTATGCTCAAGGTCCAGTGGGTAAGAGAGGAGCACAGCCCACTGAGGTTTTGATCTTAAAGACTTCTTAGGTGGCAGGGTGATGAGTAAGTCAGGGGATGACACCTTCAGGTAAATCTGATGACCTTCTTTGTTTAACCAATCCTACCTATTTCTTCATTGGTGAAATGATGACTGTCTTACCAAGTAGGAGCTACCATATACCATTTGGCAGAAATGTCCAAGAATCCTAGGGCCTGAATTTCTGAGTTTTAAACCAGGGAAAGAGTTCTGAGCAGGGTAGGAGATGGCCACCCAACAAACAGAGCTAATCCAGGGCCATGCCTAACATAGAAGTGAAAACATCTAGGCATCTCCCTAGGAACAGCTCCTGGCTATTCCGAGAGCTGGTGGGAGTCTAAGGAAAGCCAGTTTCTTAAGTAGGAAGACAAGAAGCCTACTATCAACCAGAGAGGAGATACATGGATAAAATTCTGGTCTTGCTCTGCCAGTGTTGGGTGACTTGGGTTATGTCACTTAACTGCTCTGGAACTCAGTTTATTCATCTGTAGAAACAGATAGGGTTGGACTATTTATTTGGTCTATAATATCCCATCCTCGTCTCATAATCTACAATCCATAGAACAGCAAATCCCGATTAGTTTCTCTCAACTTCTCACATCCTCCGTCACTCACCCCAGAAAAGCACAGAAAAGAAGGTCACTGGACAGATGTTGAAAAGGCCATTGGGAATCCATGATCTCTGTAAATACTATGGTGATCGTGCCCAGTTGCAGCTAAAATCTCGTACTGGTAGGACTTATACTCAGCTTGTGGAGCCTGGTGCTGTGGCCGCTGCCTCTTCCTTCCTCTCATTAAGGAAAACCACCATCTTATTTTGTTTTGTTTACCGAGCATGTTTTCAGTTTGCTGCTTCTCGGCTCTTGTTATTAGAACAGACATAATTAATAACTCCTGGCACATGGAACAGCCAGATTGGACAATCTGCCTTTTGCTTTCTCGAACTGTTTTCTGCGCAATCTGAAAGCCTGAATTTATAGCCTGGACCCAATACAATGAATTGTTTTGTAATCCGCAGAAAGAATCAGAAACTCACCACATTGCCAGCTTGAAAACATAAAATCCTCTTTGTAGTTCCTAGGGGAAGTTTTCTCCCACTTCTTGAATTAAGAACTGAAAGCAACATGTGGTCTCATCCTTTCTTTACTTCTGTTGAGAAGACAATTCTTTGGCTTTGTTTAGTCATCATTCTAGAATTGTCAATTCTGGGTCATTAGGAATTGCTTCTTAAAGTCTAATCCATTCAAATTCTGTGGCAGCCTAGACCCATTTCCCTAGCAGAATTAAAAACAAGGACTCACCATTCTTGGTTTACTTTTCTTGTGATTGGAGAAAATTGTGGATTTTATTACCATGTGCTTTTTTTTTTTTTTTTTTTTTTTTTTTAAGAGATGAAGTCTCACTCTGTCACCTAGGCTGGGTACAGTGAGTGGTGTGCTCATAGCTTACTGCAACTCCCAACTCCTGGCCTCAGGTGATTCTCCTGACTCAGCCTCCCAAGTATTATAGCTAGGACTACCATATCAGGCTAACTTAAAAATTTTTTTTAGAGATGGAGTCTTACTATGTTGGCTTAGGCTAGTCTTGAACTCCTGGCCTGAAGTGATTCTCCTGTCTCAGTCTCCCAAAGCACTGGGATTACAAGAATGAACCATAGCACCCAGCCCTAGCATACTCTATTTTGACCTAAGCAATCGTACTTCATTGGCCTTTGCTACCTCAGGTCTCCCACACCGAAATATCAGGCATTTCCCATTCTGTCATTTGGACTCTTACTAATTTGTCCATGTTCATTTAATTGATTAAACCAATGTGATCATTTCATAATATTCACTGTGTTATTCCTTTTCACTTGGTGCTGTGGGGAACACAAATGTGAACAAAAGATTTCTGCTCAAGTAGCTTACAATTTATAAACAGAGGTAAATTAGTAACTATTAGTATAATACAGCGTTGAGTTATGCTAACAGTTATAACAGTAATATAATCTAGTGGTTCCCGAATTTATATGCACATTGACTTTTCTAGGGAGCTTATGAAAATATTGATTGTTACATCCCATTACCAGAGAATCTGATTAATTGATTTGGGGTATGTCCTAGGCTTTGGAAGGTTAAAAAGAAAATCCCCAGGTGCTTCTAATCTGCAGACCACTTTGGGAACCACTGATATGATTGAAGGACTGGGAGACACAAAAAAGAAAAAAATTATTTTAATAGAGAAATTGAAAAAGTTTTCATGGAAGAGTTTAGTATATAAATCTACTAGAGATTCAGTTTAATAGTGAGAATTAAGTTTCTGGCTTTGACGTTATACACACGGGAATTTGAAGCACTCAGCCCCGTGTGTTAGTGGCTGTGTGTTCTTGGGTGGGTTACCTCCCCTCTCTGAGGAGCAGCCATGAGCAAGGGCACACAGCATCCAGAAGTGTATAGGGCACCTGAAGGAAGCATTGGGAGGGGAAGGGTGGAGAGAGAGCCACATAAATTCTCCTACTGAGTGAAAGTGGGGATTTGCAAGAGGGCAAGCTCAGAGGAGAGAAAGGAAGGGGTGGATGGAATAGATCTTGTAGAGGAAAGACTATTTCTCCTATCCAGAAAACTCTCTCCTCCCCATCTAACCTCTTTACCCAAATAAAAGCCAGTTCGACTGAGTTTCCGCTATGACCTAAAATACAAATCAGGAAGCCATGGTTAAAGAAGGAGACCAGAGTCATATTCCAGCCACCTGCTTTTCACAAGGCAAGTGTAGGAGCCTCTTCAGCTGCTTCCTGTGCCCTCCATTACTCAGGTCCTTAGTCCCAATAAGAACAAAGAAAATTATGAAAAAGTCGCCTATCAGATATATAATGAAAGGTCAACAGAATTAAAAATTGAATATGAAGAAGAGAAGGCTGAGAATAGAATACCATACTCTGAATAAATCCAGATCTGCCCAAGCTAGCCCTGATTGCTTTTAGTGGTTCCGCTGTAAGGTTTACTTAAGTAAGTGACAAGGGGTTATTACACTGACAATGTTGGTTCCTTAAGTTCTGCCAGGAGGTCCTTGACGGGATTGAAAGAAGTAAACATACATTTCCAAACAAAGAACTAGTTTTGTTAGAGTATAGTGAAGAATTTCAATGAGATTGTCACATGAAATGCAAATGCTTGGAGGAGGAAACTGTAGACATTTTGCTGAATAGAATCATGTTATAAAATCTAGGGGCCAGAAAAGGGCTTTTGAGTTCATCTCATCCAACCTGCAAAGTATATAGATGGGAACGCAGGGCCCCAGAGTGGTGACAGGATCTGTACAAGGTCACACAGTAAAATAAAGGCTGAAGAGGGAAGGGAAAGTAGATCTTTTGTCTCCTACTGTTCATTTTCCATAAGGAAAAAATTTTTTTTTTCTTTTTTCAGTCATGGAAAGATGAGCTTTTTGGGGGACAACAGGTTATTTTTAACTGCTGAACCTTGTCACTTACCTATGAAATGGCCATAGGACTCTGTGCATTTTGTAAACCAACCTTATTTTTGAAATTCATCTTACTGTATCACCTTTGCTTTTTCTTGCCTCCTTTTCTTTGATTTTTCCTTTCTTTTTTATTTTCTTGCATTAATCTGTCTTTGGTAATAGTAGAAGCACTAGTACAAATTGTCTTAAACACTTTGTGAAACAAAGTAGGATAAAAAGATGTAAGTAGCTGCATTCCACTTGTACCATGCTATCACCATAGATAGAACTTATATTTATTGAATGTTCATTCTGTGCTTATATACATTATTTCTTTTAATTTTCTCAGAGTCACCAAAAGGCATGCAATATTATTATCTTCATTTTATAAATGGGAAAATGAGTCTTGTAGATGTGAAAAATTTGCCTGGATCTCACAACCAGAAGAGATGGGGTTAAGCTCTGGTCTGACCAATCCAGCGTTCGTGTTCCTCCCCATACACTGGGTGGCTCGCTCTCAGTGTTTATTTGCCCTAGAACAGGACAGTCGTCCCTGTGCACTGCGTGGCCTGCGTGCACTGTTTTCCCATAATCCTCTGCTGCTTTATTCTTCAGAAATTGCTATTTATTTCACTCAGCAAGACTTCAAATATTACTCCAAACAACTGGCTTCCAAAGAATTGGCTATTTTCCCTGTTTTTAATGTTGGAGCAAGCAACCCAACCAGTTATTTTTCTTTTTTACTCTATTACTTTACAAGAACAAAAATAATCATATTAAGATGTCAAAAATAAATCTTAAATGTGCAAATGTGGGAGAAAGACACCTCCTTTCTGGGAGAATCCAAAAGAATTTAAATAGACTCATGTGTGTTCTTTGTGTGAAATGCCGTGGCTACAATCCAAATTAAGATGTTAACGGGACATTAATAAGAATGAGCTGGGGATAAACACGGAATTGCAAAATAAGTTCACGAAGTCATTTAAATTAGGAGCACACTATGTGACTGGGACTCTGCACTGCCCTGTCCCTGTTACTGTGCTGACTCTTGGAAACAGGCCTCTGTCCTCCACTGCTGCGTCTGCTGATGGGTAGCTTCTTCTCTCTGCCCAGCCCTGAACCAGACACGACAGAGCAACATAGCTCTTGCCCATTGAAAGCTCCAGTGTGGTTGACTGATGAATTTGACTTTCGTTACAAGTAGCAAAGCTTACACCCAAGAAACTATTGGACTTCATCATACCGGGCAGGGTAAATTTCAAGGCTGACTGCATGACACTACAGATTTGGACTACAGTAAAGTACTATAGCGATGGACCTTGGGGTAACTCTGGGGATACTAGTGAAAACCCTCATTTTATAGATGGGGAGGGGAATCCAGGGAGGCCCAGAAAGAGGAAGGGATTAGCCCCAGGCAATATAACTAATTAAGTGTAATAATCATGGCTATTTGTTAGGTATCAGACTCTGTGCTATACATTTTATATATTCAACTTCTTACATAATCCATGGCAATGCTGCGAGGTCAGCATCATCCCATTTAGGGATGAGGAAACTCAGGCATAGAGTTGGGAGCTGCTTGCCTGTGATCACACAGCTAGTTAGTTGTAGTAGTGGGATTTAAAGCCCCACACATCAGGTTGCAAAGCCCATCTTCCTTTTAACCATTAACAACAAATCTGGGACTGGCATCCTGAGTCATTTTCACTTTGGTGCAATGTTTCCTTTAGCATAGAGAACCTATGAGCATATTCGCTGGTTTATTTGATATGCATGTTCTAAGGGCCAACTATAAGCAGATCTTGGGCTGGACCCTGGGGATATAAAAATTTAATAAGTGCAGGTTCTTAACCTCCTGGATCTCAAAGTCTAATGGGGTGACTGACATATGAAAAGGAAAATTACAGTACAGTGTGGTAAGTGTTATTATGGAGATATAAACAAGTGCTGTGGGAGACCAGGGCAGAGCAAATATTTCTGCCTAGAGGGAATAAAGAGCAACCTCACAGAGGTGGTGAAATGTGAGTTGGATCTTGAAATATGAGTTTGCCAATCAGAGAAGGGCACAAGTACACCCAGGAAAAGGTAACAGCATGTGCAAAGGCCTCAGATTGTGAAAGCAATTGATATGTTGGGGTAATAAGTTCAGAGTGGCTGTGTAGGGTAGCAAGGCTGGAGATGAAGCTTGAGATCAGATTGTGAAGAGTTCCAGGTTCCCCAGCCGAGGAATTTTGTATCAAGCCTACAGGGAGTGGATCATCAGCAGAGATTCCTAACCAAGAGTATGTCTTGGTTAGATTTGTTTTTTAGGAAGATAAGCCAAGGAGACGTGGAGGACAGGGAGCAGATGTTGCAGTGGTCCTGCTGAAAACTAATGAGGACTTGGGCCAGGGCATTGTGGATGGAGAGGCAGGATAGATGAGACAGATTAATTTCTGAAGTTAAACTCCTAGGGTTTGATGACTGGCACGTGGAGAGTAAAGAAAAGGAAGTGCTTAAGAAAGATTCTGCAATTTCTAGCGTTAGAAGTGGAGTGAATGCAAATGCCATTAACCAGGGCTGCACGCAAAGGACATAGAGCAGATTTAGTAAAGCTCGAGTGAGAGCTCTTTCAAGCGTGCTGTTTTAAAGTGCCTGCAAATAAACACCCTACTAGAGATGTGAGCAGACATTTGGGAAGACAAATGTGGTATTTGGGAGAGAAGTAGGGGCTGGTGGCATAGATTCAGGAGACGGATGGTACTTAAAGCTCTAGAACCAAATGAGTGTTCCCAGGGAAATCTAGGGG